AAAAAAAAAAAAAAAAAAAGTGCACATCTCTTTCCAACTCTACATTTTTAGCCTTAAAAATTAGAGTATTATACTAGGGAAGTCAGCAAGCACATAAATCAGAGCTTTTCTCATGGAAAGTAGGTTGTGAAATATTTATCAACTATCCATGTGTGTGTGTGTGTGTGTGTGTATACACACACACACACATATATGTGCCACCTTTCTGGAACAAGAACCCAATGCATTTATCAGCTTATTAAAGAGAGATGTAGCCCAAAAATAACCAGTTAAGAACTGGAAGCAGGGACATAAAATTCTACTTCCACACACTGGTAAACAAAATTTTGTGTATAACCAAAGAAGACTCATCCTTACACATGGTCCTACGTAGGTAACTGTATTATTTTTCAAAGCCTTTCAATACATTTTCAAGGTAGATCACTCCTAAACAGGAGCTTTTGAAATTACAGACATTTCAATACAAATCCTAACTCTGACATCCCAAGGCTTAAATTGATATAACAGGATATTTAACTTTACATTAGAACCTCAGTATAATGTTATTTTAGTTCATAAGTCTAATAAATTTATCATATTTTTAGAATATTTAATTAAAGCAACTTTTAAAGAGAATCACCATTATAAAATATATGCACATAAACAAAAATATCTTTAAAATGTTTTTATGGTATTTATTCATGATACTCAAAATTAACTTACCCTGCTGATTGACTACTACCAAGTTTCTGTAGATCATGGTATATATTTTCCTTGTAGACAGAAAAAAAAAATCAGGAGATGTACATTTCAAAAGAAAAATGTATTAAGCTGGACTTAACCAGACTTTTACATACATATTTAGTATGAACTACTAATGCACACATTCAAAACCAATTTTATCACTGGCAAGCTTGTAGGCACTTAAAAGCACAGTAATTAGTAGCACAATGATTTACATACAGCTGCTTTTAATAATCACTAAAGTCTCCCCAGCTGAAAGATTTCACACTGCCAATTCCTGAAATGCGCTTGTTTGGACTTTACTAGAAGACCCCAAACAATGGATGTGCAAGCAGGAAGCAATTTAACGTATATTTTTTTTCTTTTTTGAGACGGAGTTTCCCTCGTCTCCCAGGCTGGAATGCAATGGTGCGATCTCTGCTCACTGCAACCTCCGCCTCTCAGGTTCAAGTGATTTTCCTGCCTCATCCTCCCGAGTAGCTGGGATTACAGGACACCACACCCAGCTAATTTTTTTTTTTTTATTTTAGTAGAGATGGGGTTTCACCATGTTGTCCAGGCTGGTCTCAAACTCCTGGCCTCAAGTGATCCGCCTGCCTTGGCCTCCCAAAGTGCTGGGATTTACAGGCACGAGTCACTGTGCCCAACCTAATGTACTTATTTTCAAACAGGAATGTTTTTAGCTCTATGCTTAGTAGCCAACTGCCAAAAAAAGTATTGAGTTATGCAAAATCCATTAAATAGGAATTTGATTGACTTTCATCAAGCTTCAACTTCCTTTCTTGATCTTAAAACTTATTAACAGATAAAGTAGTACTCATTCATTCAATAAATACAGACTGAACACCTACCAAGTACTAGTCACTGGTACTATGTAGCAGACACTGGGAAAACAAAGAATGAAACAAAAACGTATTTGCCCTGATGAAGTTTATGTCCTAACAGGAAGATAATTCATTTACCCCAGTATTCATTGATGTCACAGTAGATTTTTCTTTTCTTTTGTTTTTAAACTAAGAATTTGAGAGAATGTCACAAAAATTGTTCCTCACTCAATGTTAAGAAGAAATATGAATCCCAACTATCTTTTTCACCCTTGGAAATAAGGGTACAGCAACCTAAACCCAAAATATTTCTCATTCATATCCTTTTCAAGTCAGTAATTTCTCCAATGTCTTGTCTCTCAACATTTAGAATTCAAGTCCAAGGAAACTATACTTCCAAACATTATCCGAAGATTCAATATTCAGACTGGGCACTAAGTGGCTCACATTTGTAATCCCAGCACTTTTGGAGGCCATGTTGGGCAGATCACCTGAGGTCAGGAGCTCAACAGCAGCCTGGCCAACATGGTGAAACCCCATCTCTACTAAAAATACAAAACATTAGGTGGTTTTATCACAAATCCAAGATTAAAAAAAAAAAATTAGCTGGGCATAGTAGCATGCGCCTGTAATCCCAGCTACTCAGGAGACTGAGGCAAGAGAATCTCTTGAACCCAGAAGGCAGAGGTTGCAGCCTGGACAACAGAGCAAGATTCTGTCTCAAAAAACAACAACAAAAAAGATTCTATATTCAACAGGTTAAAAAAAAACACCAATATACCAATATAGTTTTTTTAAAAAATTTATAAAATTAAATCATATATCCAAAGGTCAAGTATAAATGACAACATATATGGATATTAAACAGAAGTGATACATCAATGAAAAAATGCTTATATCATTAAATTAAGAAGCTACGTGAAATTAAACATATTCATAAGTAGTTTAAAACACACAACTGCATATAGCATACAAATGACTGGTAAAAATACCTTTTGGTAACACACTTTAATCCCTTTTTTCCTTTACTTTTCTTAGCTTTCTGTCATTTCCTAGTGTTTGGTAATAAATATATACTATGTGTATGATAATGAAGTTGTTTTAAAGCTATAAAATCCCCTGCTCAACTGAGGAAGTTTTTTTTTAAATAAAAATAAAATAAAATCCCATATAATTGTCATCTTTTCAGCTATGCTATTGAGCATTAAATACTAGCAGAAGCGAGTTAATTGTTTCAGGTGAAAGTATTCATTCTGTTTATTCATGGAATGAATGCTAAGGCTCAACACGTATTGCCTGTGCTAAACCAAATGTGATAATTCCCAATGCAGGCCGGACACAGTGGATCACACGTTTAATCCCAGAACTTTGGGAGGCCGAGGCAGGCACATCACCTAAGGTCAGGAGTTTGAGATCAGCCTGGCCAACATGGTTGAAACCCCATCTCTACTAAAAATATGTGGTGGCAGGCACCTGTAATCCCAGCTACTCAGAAGGTTGAGGCAAGAGTATCACTTGAACCCAGAGGCGGAGGTTGCAGTGAACCGAGATCATGCCACTGCACTCCAGCCTGGGCAACAAGAGCAAAACTCTGTCTCAAGAAAAGAAGAAAAAAAGAATTCCAAATGTAAGATAAGAATGACTGAAAAAACATTCAGTTCCCAAAAGAATAATTCTAGAGGCTGGGCATAATTGCTCACGCCTATAATCACAGCACTTTGGAAGGTGGAGGCAGGTGGATCACTTGAGGTCAGGAGTTTGAAACCAGCCTGGCCAACATAGTGAAACCCTGCCTCTACCAAAATACAAAATTAGCCGGGCATGGTAGTGGGCACCAGTAATCCCAGCTACTCGGGAGCCTGAGGCAGGTGAATCACTGGAACCCAGGAGGTGGAGGTTGCAGTGAGCTGAGATCGTGCCACTGCACTGCAGCCTGGGTGTCAGAGCAAGACTCCCTCTCAAAAAAAAAAAAAAAAAAATTCTAGAAATACATTAAATACATATATAAATATTTATGTATTTTTATATAAAAATATAAAACATTTTTATATATTTATGTATTTTTATATATATATTTTTTCATTTGAGACAGAGTTTCCCCTCTTGTTGTCCAGGCTGGAGTGCAGCGGCATGATCTCATCTCACCACAACCTCCGCCTCCCTGGTTTAAGCATTCTCCTGCCTGAGCCTCCGGGGTACCTGGGATTACAGGCATGCACCACCATGCCTGGCTAATTTTGTATTTTTAGTAGAGAGGAGGTTTTTCTATGTTGGTCAGGCTGGTCTCAAATTCATGACCTCAGGTGATCCAACCGCCTCAGCCTCCCAAAGTACTGGGACACAGGTGTGAGCCACCACAGCTGGCCTAAGTCTAGAAGTATTACCTGGGTTAAATTCTGCTGGTTAAGTGCCATAATGATAGGTGAAAATGCAAATGATTTCCAAAGTAACTAAAGCTAAATTTAAGCCTTTACCACTTGGTGGTATAAGGACTGTTTCTGGAAGTGACTGGAATAAAAATTTATAATATATAATAGCTATAGCTAAAGTATGAATGCTTTGTATGTGACAAACACTATGCTTTTTTATACAATGTCTCTCTTTAAGAGAATTAACTGGCCAGGCACAGTGGCTCACACCTGTAATCCCAACACTTTGGGAGGCTGAGGCAGGCAGATCATGAGGTCAGGAGATCAAGACCATCCTGGCTAACATGTGAAACCCTGTCTCTACTAAAATACAAAAATTAGCCATGCGTGATGGTACACGCTTGTAATCTCAGCTGCTCAGGAGGCTGAGGCAGCAGAATCGCTTGAACACGGAAGGCAGAGGTTGCCGTGAACCGAGATCGTGCCATTGCACTCCAGTCTGACAACAGCAGGACTCCATCTCCAAAAAAATAAAAAAGAGCTATAACCTCCACATGAGGTATTTAATTATCCCTATTTTATAAATAGGGAAACAGGTTTAAAGAGATTAATCTATCTAGTCACAAAACTAGTAAATGATTGGGCTAGATTTCAAGCGCAGGTTTATAAGATGCCAGAGCTCAGGTTCTCAAATAATATGCTACAGAACTAAGAAATTACATTTCAGCATGTTTTTTATATGTTTTAACAGTTTTTCTCTGACAAAAGGGAGTGAGGGTAGAGGTGAATTGAAATGTTAGCCCAACTGTCTTTTTACAATGGACTAAATTGAAGAATTACCTGTGTTCTTTCACAGAGAAGCTTGGCACACCAAACAAATCTCCTAGAAGATCATTTGAACAATATACAATATGTTGTTGCTTCTCATCATATAATCGTTTATTCATAATATACTGGCCAAGATAAAATAGAACCTGAAATAGAAATATGATTTCTGAGCATTAAAGAAAACTAAATGTTAGTTTAAAATACAGTCAACAATATCCTATTCATCTGAATAAGTTAAATTCTGCTGGTTAAGTGCCATATGATAGGTGACAATGAAAATGATGTCCAAAGTATCTAAGGCTCAAATTTAAGCCTTCCAGCAACCATATCCACAACTATGTAGAACCACCACCATTCTGTACTTAAAATAAGCTTCTTTTGGCTGGGCGCGGTGGCTCATGCCTGTAATCTCAGCACTTTGGGAGGCTGAAGCGGGTGGATCATGAGGTCAGGAGATCAAGACCATCCTGGCCAACAGGGTGAAACCCCATCTCTACTGAAAATACAAAAAAATAGCCTGATGTGGCAGTGCACGCCTGTAGTCCCAATTACTTGGGAGGCTGAGGCAGGAGAATTGCTTGAACCTGGCAGAGGCTACAGAGAGCTGAGATTGCACCACTGCACTCCAACCTGGGCGACAGAAAGAGGCTCTGTCTCAAAAAAAAGCTACTTTTAAGCCTTTTTCTTTTAATTTTCCTCTGATGGAAGCAGAGATAACTGCTTCTCTCTTTACTTAACTAAATCTTAAAATGTGAGATTTTTTTTCCTTGTAGACGTTAACTCTTCCCAGATATCTAGATACGAACATATTAGGTAGGGAAGAGACAGCAAAATGAAAAACTGATAGCTATAAAAAGTTGCAGAAATAAAAATCAACTAAAATACACCAGAGCCACTTAGTAAATAGTCACAAACACCATAAACCTCAATGGCAGCAGGGTGCGGTGGCTCACATCTGTAAACCCAGCACTTCGGAAGGTCAAGGCAGGTGGATCACAAGTTTGGGAGTTTGACACCAGCGTGGTCAACGTGGCAAAACCCCATCTCTATTAAAAATACAAAACTTAGCCAGATGTGGTGGCAGGCGCCTGTAATCCTAGCTACTTGGAGGCTGAGGCAGGCTTGAACCAGGAAGCGAAGGTTGCAGTAAGCTGAGAGAACGCCATTGCACTCCAGCCTGGATGAGAGCGAAACTCCGTCTCAAAAAAAAAAAAAAAAAAAAAAAAAAAACCTCAGTAGCCTCTGAGGTCACCAGAGGAAGAAGACAGAAAAACAATCAATGACAGCTGACAGCTACAAAGCAGTATGGGAGAATTCTGTGAGAAATAAATCCTTAAAGATATCGATTTACTCTATATTATAATAATCAAAATAATGATTTTGAACCATTTATAAATTTAAATTATATTCCCTGCACTGCATTAAGACAAGTTGGCAATACAGCTTCAAGGTATCCTATTACATCTATACCTAATACATCTTTAAGAGATCCCAGATATAAACCTATTAACAACTACCTAAATACATGTTATTTTACAGATTACAATGTACTTTTTCAAGTATTTTCTCATTCTGATATTTCACAGAATTGTTATTGCTGTATTAGAAATGAAAAACTGGGCTGGGCACAGTGGCTCACGCCCGTAAATCTAGCACTTTAGGAGACCAAGGTAGGCAGATCCCTTGAGCCCAAGAGTTAGAGACCAGCCTGAGCAACATAGTGAAACTCCATCTCTACAAAAAAAA